CAACCTTTGGTCTTGTGTGAGGCTCCGAACCTTGTCCTAGAGTATTGAGAAATTTAGATCGTTTAGTCCGATCTAACAATACATCAAATGGCACTACAGCTTCCAAAAGATCCTGAAAAATATATAAAACAGAAGTTTCTAAGCAGCGACTTTAATTTGAAATACAATCCTCATTTTTTTAGTGTCGATTTCTACAATTTCAGGATACAGCATTCAGACAGAAGCATAAAAAATAAAAAATAAATCCTTCTAAATGCTTGCCTTCATGGTTGTGACACCTTCATCAACTGCTATGGACCCTTCATTGTCAGAAATTGAGCTTTTTTCATTTAAGGGCAGCGAGCTGGATATTCTTTTTGAATTTCCTACTTTGCTGCTATGGCTCCACATCAATGCTAGATCAGCTCTCATTTTCTTAAACATTTGAGGCTGCTTATACAAGGAAGATTAGATCATACTATTGAAGAAGGAACTACAAATGCTCATATAGCAAGGTACATTTCGGTGCAATACAACATACTGGTTTTTGGTAATGGCCAAATAGTAATAAATTTAAGAAAAACAAAATCCACTGCATATTTCTTTTCAGACATTTTTACAACTAATTAAACAGCTTTAATCACTCAATGGAATAAGGTTCATCCAAATTATATCATATTAACCTTTAATAGAACCATATTTCCACCTCTTCTTTAATTTAGGTACCTAAAGCTTCGCAACTGCATTTTCTAAGTAGCCAAAAAATGCTTAGAAACTACCAGATGCTTTATTGAAACTATATCCACAATGTCCATTGTTTTGCTCTTTTCTTTACTTACACAGTCATTTAAGTCCTGTCTCCCAAATGGCATCCTACTAATGTGTTTCCTGCACTAGTTTCTTCACAACGTCTGAAAATTATTCTTGATGTAACCATCTAATCTCCATTTTTGGTTCTCTGTACACTGAGAAAATAAGCTATTGGATTTCAACTCTTCAAGGAAAAACTTAAAACTATGATTGTCTTGCTTAATGTATCAAAATTCCCACAACTGACTTATTAGAAGCAGTTTTATCAGATATTTAGATCTTCTAGTGAGCAGACCTGAAGAACAGCAAAGCACAGATCTTCCAGTTCAGCTTTCATTGCCCACAAACCCAATCTGGAAGCTAGTGAGCACCAAATTACCAAGGTCTCTTTTGCAACAGCTTGAGCCTTTGTCAGTGGGAGAGCATAACTGTAAAAAAAAAATTCATCTAGGAGCGTAACCCATCTGCTAGTATTATGAGCCTAAAACTTCGTAGTGAAGAAGACAAGAAATTTCAAGCAACCAACAAAACAATAACATGATTATCTTTATCAGCTAAAGTTGGTCACTTGTTGCTAAGGGGGCATTATTTATAGTACCACGTTACCGACAAAAGTTTCTGTTAGTTGGCCATGTCCCAACAAACATTTCCATGCAATCAATAACTGAAGGATAATAGGATAAACAGGTTCTGTGTTTATATATTATTTAGAATCTTCAAGAGAAGGCAGAAATATTTCATTACAATTTAGTGCTTGTGCTCATTTCAGAGTCAAAACTTGTCTTGAAAAAAGAAATCAAAATTGAGGAATTAAAAGAAAGTGATAACAATTTTAACTTATAATATCAATGTGAGTTTAGAGTCAGTACATTGTTCTCATATTGTGAAGGCGATCTGCAAGCTTTATAAGCACTACACGTGGATCATCAACCATGCCCAAGAGCATGACTCGTAAATTATTTGCCTGATAGATAAAGAATGCAAGCATGAGATATGGAAAACTGAAGTAGCAAAAAACTGGTGCTCATATGATGATCATCTTTAAGAATAAAACACATAAAGTTAATCTTTTATTATGACCTTATGCTTCATTCAGTTGAATTTGATACAACTAAGTGCCCATCGTATCCACATAATTGCTTTAATGGAAGATCACTACATGAAAATTCATACTCATGCACAAAGGTAATGATGCTTAGATATTTAAAAGTGTAAGCGAGCACCAGGAAACACATAAAATTACATGAAGATTGAGACATAACAAAAATCTAAAATTATTCTTCAGTAATGATTTATTGTATTTACAATATAATTTTCCATTATTTTCTTATTACATCTCAGGTTTCAAGTAACTGTAGCATGGCTGATTCTATATTATGATGTAGAATATAAGTCCTACCTCCTCATGACCAAGCCTGCCCTGGTTCAAATTTATCCTGCGGCGTCTCCGTAAAAGCTTCAAGAATGACAACAGTTGATTAGAATTTGTATGTCTATAACTTTCTCATTGAAATAATATCTGCACCATTCTTTCCTATCCCTCACATTTCACAGATGAATGTGTCACCGTTTGACATCAGTTGAAGGCAGAATACCAAGAAAAGAAAGCCAGATTACATAACCGGCGTATAATATTAATACCTGATTTATGTAACTTAACCTGGAAACACCAGCTACCAGCCTAGCTACATCATCACCAAACTCCTCTTCTATGTGGGGGAAACTTACACACGTATCATCAACCACATCATGGAGAATCCCGGCCACAACTGTCTCAACAGCCTGCAGCAAACTTTTAAGTTTTGATGGAATTAATGAAATGCAAACTTGTTCTTCAGCAGTACAAGGGTTTTGCTGATTTGGTAAAAGTAAGGGGTGTTAAATAAGAAAGATGCATACTCGTTGGCCACTTGAGGGAACCAGCATGGCTAGGATTCTTCCTGTATGGATACAGTGGACTAAATAAGGGTCTCCTGTTCTGCGTAGCTGACCGTGGTGAGCTTTCTTAGCAAATGCAATAGCCTTTTGCACCTGCCTTCACAGTTCACACACACATTGTTTTAGTGGAATTGCAGAGCAATAATCAAATTGTATTTGTATGTATTGAAGCAAGCAGATAATGAAAAATGGCAAACCTTTGGATCATTAAATATGGGATATCCAGTCACGTCTACTCCCTCCACTACATCAGAACCTGCACCATTAAAAAAGGAATCAAGTTTAAGCATAGCTCCTCCTATGAAATGAAGTAATTGCTATTATCAGAATTCACGGGGTTCAAAAACGCAAATCTCTTGACCTGGCTGTGCTTCCATTTTGGGCCACAAGAAATCGACTTTAGTGGAAAGACAAGCTCCGGAGGCGATGGCGAGGGCCGTGACGGCGACCTGAGTGATGGTGGAGGTGACGGCCCCGTGGAGAGAGCCAGAGCCGGAGGCGGCCGGCGGA